AGGTAAAGTCACCCCTTGACACCCTTCTGCTCACTCTGAGTGCTCCTGGTGACTTTCCTCTGCACTGAGCTGGAGGTGGTAATGGAAGGGAGGCCACAGTGTGGGAATCAGGGCCCTGTCCAGCAGAGCAAGGGCTGGAGACAGGAATTCCTATGTAATAGCTTAGGCAAGGATAAGGCAAAAAATGAGCCCCTGGCAGATGGTGCATTTGAGCCAAGGCAGCTCTGGACAATTAAAACCTCTTGGAGGACACAGATCTGTCACCCTGAAAATTAAAGTCTTCTGATAATGTTTTCATAGTTTTAGTTACTTTCCCATGAAAGTTCTCTAAACATAAGTTGCTTACCACATTGCTTCTAAGAAACGTCTTTTGATGGACGTTTCACATGACCAGCGTGCTTGGGAAGGTGGTAACTTAATTATCCAATCCCTGGTCATTGTTGAGAATCTATAAATACTGGAGTCAGAGAATAAAGGTGCTGCTTTTCTGTTCTGACACCGAGAAGCATTTGTATGAATCATTTTGTGTCCTTTAGCAACATAGATCCTTGAGTTATACTGAAGGTATAATCACAAGAAGAGCAATTCCCAAAAGGAAGGAAGAGAAAAAAATATTGAAATGTATTTTTACCTTGATCCGGACTTCCCCTGCCTTTGGGGGTGCAACTTCCACCTCCTCAACAGAGAGAGGTTTGCTGGGGGCCCAGGCAACAGCAGCCCTGCACCGGATAACCTGGAAGCAACCGAGAAGAATTCATTGCATAGGAACATTTGGCTTTAGCACACGGCTGGGGGAAGTCATCCTGCAATCATCTGAACCTGAGGTGTTCAAACTTGGTGATGCTCAGCTGCACCTGAAACCAAGTGATATCCAATAAACACTGGCAGTTTCAGATCTGAAGAAACTCCATTTGTGGTTTGTCACCCAAAGATCATAAGCTAAAGCCTTGGAAAATTATTGGGTTTTGATGATTTTGGTGGATTTTTCATAATACCCCCATATGTTACTGGCCAGACTGTGCTGTCTTGGGGACTGTGGACTCTAGCAGGTGGAAATTCCTGTGGAGAGCTTTGATGTGAGCCCTGTGACACACGGGGCTGAAAGGGAGTGAGAAGGATTATGGAATTGTCCCTTTTTTATTTGTAACTGGATAATTTTTTTTCCCTTACCAAGTTTTCATTTGTGTGTGCCATTGCTCAAACCCCGTGCCGCTGAATCCAAAGCTATTTGGCATCGGCAAAACGGAGTTTGCAGCTTGAAAAGGGCATGGCCATGGACAAGGTTGAGTGCAGGAGACGAGTGGCTGAAGAAGGCACCACTGAAGAGCTCCTTTTGCTGCCAGGGCAGGAGCACAGAGTGGGATTGAGCAGGATTTTTCCGAGCAGCACAATTGCGTATTTTGTGTCCCGAGCAGCTGGGCAGGACAGAGGGGGAGTGCACGACCTAATGCAGGTACGGACACGTGCAGTTGTCCAAAAGCAGAATCTGGTGAAATTCACAGGGGTTTGGAAGAGGTGGAGGAGGAGTAAGGTGGGAAGAAAGAGGGCACGCAGAGTGGAGTGCAGGCTGAGCCTTTTGCAGCGGATTTCGCCAAGAGCAGGGCACCTGCGGAAGGAGGATGGGAAACGCGATGTCCTTACTTTTCCGGCAGTGGCCATGTGGTCTTAGCAGAGCTGTGTCTGTCGCTGTCGCCGGCTGGAGGGAAGCTGCCTCTGGCCCGTGTGGCCCAAGCCCCGCGTTGTGGAATTCCCCAGGCGTGGAGCGGGAGCAGTCCCGGTGCGGCAGCGTCGCAGCTGGAGAGCGCTGGTTAATCTGTGTCGGATGCTGGGTGCTAGGCAGCACAGCGAGTGCTGAGGGGAGTGTTATAAATTGTCGTGACAAAATAGAAGGGTCAATTCATATAATAATTAATGAAAACCAATTATTATTAATTCAGCAAGCAGTAAAGCAAGCAAAAACTCAGCTGGGGATGAGCCAGAGGACACTTCGTCTTAAGTGTCCTGCACAAGGCTCGCCTTGGCTAAGGAGGTTCCCTTATTTATACAGTCTCTGCATCTGTGTCTTCCTGGATCGCATCAGTGCCTGCGCATCCTGTTGCTAGGGCATCTTCTTCTGTCTCTTGGTGGTCGTGGGTAGGCAATTCTCCTGAATAAGGAGATATTCTATTTCCCCTTTGTTCAGCTGGATACCATCCTACAGATTTAGCTTTGCAGTTTCAGCTTCTTGCCTTCACAGCTGGATATGTGGTCATTGTGGTTCGGTGTTTCTGCAATGTTAGCTTTTTTTTTTTTAAACAAACTTAGCCATCATATTTTATTTTAGTAATAATATTAAATTTGATCAACAAATAATTAAAATTTATTACAGGGAGGAGCTGGATAGCGGCAGGGAGATGGATGGGGTCAGAAGTCCTCCGGGGAGGCTTTTATCGGTGACCCTGCCCTTGGGCCATTCTGCCTGTTAGGCACAGAATATTCAGAAAGATTTTTTCCTCCTCTAGTTGCTTCAGGCAGATGTGAAAGGAGGAGATTTGCGGCACTGGTGGGGCTTCCTTGGCATCCCCTTTTTGCCAGGCTGGAGCATTTGACCTCGTGGTCATTCACGCCAAGGTATTTGCAAAGTGGTTAAAAATTAAAAAAAAACCCTAAACAAAAAAAAAGCAGTGAAAACATGGTGGGGTGGACACTGCCTTCTGGGTTGAAGCTTTACTGTCTGTGTTATTGCTCTATTTTCACCAGAACGGTAAGGGGAAAGTCTGTCAAGAAAGGACTTGGTTTTCCAAGGACACAATTACATCACTTCTGTGTAACCTGGCTTGTGGGTTCACACACCCTGGGTTCTTCAGGTTGCCTCCAGAGCTGTTTTCTGGTGAGGCATTGGACAAGTTGATGTGTAGGGGATACAGGATGAGCAAGAACTTGTTGGTGGACCAGGCTAAGATGAACACTGTGTGTGTTTGGGAACTGCTTCTGCGTTTGGGAAGACGTCAGCCCCATGTTCATGTGTTCAGCTGACTGCTTGCAGAGGTTTATGCTGGTGCTTGCTGCTGAATACCCCAAACCTGTTTCATGGGCTGAGGAGGAAAGTCAGTAGCAGCTGCAGGACTTAGACTTGGCAGGCCAAGCCCCCAGCTCTCAAGTTCCCTGATCCCATCACCAGCTTCAGGGATGCAGCCCACCTGCTCTATCTTACGCCAGCAGGTGTCTGAGCTCTTTCACAGAGCATGGCAGCCCTGTGGTGTGACAGTGGTCCCAGCCACATGGAAGTGCTGCTTGGCATTCAGCTCCTCAGCCCTGCTGGTCAACCCAGACTTGAGGTGGTAACTTGCTCCTGTCTTGGAGGTGAGCAGCTGGCTCTAGAGCAGACACGCACTTGTGGATCATTTTAATCTGTATTTCAGACTTTTTCTCAAGAAATTTCTACTTTTTCAAACATTTGGTTGCATACCTCTGGTAGCCTCAATCAGATAATGAATTATGATGATGTATAATTTTCCAAGAATAAGGAGTTTTAGAATGAAGTTTTAAAGATTTTCAGTATTCAGCCTGGTCAACCTGCTGCATTAAAAAAGAAATAAAACTATATTGACTTCTAGTGTGATTTATGCAGCTTTTTAGAGAAAAAAATTTTTCACTTGTCCAGAATAACTTTTTTCACTTGTCCAAAGATGCGATAACCCCTGAACAAAGCATGGGCTTGTTGTCTCCTAGGTACCTGTGTAGCACAGATTTTATTACTGGGATCTGTGGCCTCCATCTGATAACCTGGAAGCACTGGAGGGGATTAAGTTGGGTGGGAATGATCATTTGGCTTTGATGCACTGTCAGGGAGTGTGATCTTAAAAGCATATGAAAATAAAGCTGTACAGTGGAGCATGTGCCATTTCCTGGGGGAGTGTCTGGGTAGGTGAGATGTGGTGGGAGAGCAGAAACATGGTAGTGCTCAGTTGTACACAAAGCCAAGTGATGCTCAGTTAAACACTGCCATAGTTTAAGGTCTGAGGAAACACCATTTGTGCTTTGTCTGATAGTTAGTTTGTTTCTTGGGAAATTACTGTATTTTTCATGTCTTTTGTGGATTTTTTGTGGTGTCATCATGTGCTAGCGGACAGTTGGTCGGCATGTGGTCTGTACTCACTCCCAGGAAAGCTCTGAAATGGAGCCTTACACAGAGTTGTGCAAGAGCTGTCCAGAACTCCTGGACCCTCCTGGAGTACCTCAGAGCCAGAGAGTCATTAGGAAAGGCCATGAGAAACCTTCTGTCCAAGCTATACAACCACACAATCTTCAGCTGAGTGTTGAGGGTCTGCAGGGCAAAATATGCTAGGAAAGTATGAACTTTTTGTTGTTTCCCAGTCAGAATACACTTCATTCCTCCATGTGAAGACAGATCTAGATGGCTGCCTTATAAAATATGCCTAATAAGAATGATTTAATGGGTTAATTGTTTTGGGCTCCAGCAACTATCCTACTAAAAATACTAACAGCTGGTGTTTACTATGCTTGGCAGATAACAACCACAAAAATGGGCTTTGCATCATCCTGAAGATGATAGAATTGCGAGGTTTGTTGTTCTTTAGCTCTTTTACACTGATGACTGAAGTTCAGCTCTCAATTGCTGTGTAAGTTTAGTTTATAGACATATTTAAAGATCTTTTTCTGTTAAACTGTAATCTCTTGATCCTCAAATCATTAAACTGTGATCTCTTGCCCTCAAGTCATTAAACTATCTGGGCCACTCAAAGAATCTTTCTGCTGACACAAACAGGTAAGTCATCAGTAGCATAGCTCCCTTGCTTCACAGGTTCTTCTACCCAGCTGCCATGTGTGCGAGTGCCTGCAAGCTCTGATTAATACATGCTAAAATATGTCAATGTTGACCATATTTGCCAAGATAGAAATAGCCTCTATTCTTGTTTCCACATTGCAAATTCAGAAAACAGTAAGATGCTTTATGTTTGCGTTGTTGTAAATTGTTACCAGTCACCTCTTTCTTCCCATTTATTCTGTATTCATACATCAGAAGCCTCCCCTTTGTATAATGGAAACAAAAAACAATACTTGGTGCACATTTGTATTTCTTCACACTGCTTCCCAAACATTAGAGGCACTTGTCTAAATTGGCCAAAGGTTTAAAACCACAATGATCAACAATTAAAACAACCCCAAGAAAGAGGCATAAAGGTAAAAAAACCCCAAAACACCAAATAAAAGCCACAACACAGAACAACCAAACACCAGTTTTACATAAAATGTTTGGGAGTGTTAATCTGGTAAAATACTGAGTGGTGAGACATTCTCCAGTACCTAAGCCTATGATTTACTTAAATTATTAATTCAAACACATGTTCACCATAAATTTTAATTTCTGCTATATTATTCCTTGCTCATTAGGCATTGGAATGATACAGTCGATCAGGATGGATACACAGTTCTAATCTAGAGTTTGTTGAACTGCATGTATGAATTCCTTAAGCTTGCAGTGTTATGGAAGCCCAAAGAAACAATTTCCTTCCTTTTAAAAGATTGCATATTATAAGTAATTTTTAAAAATCCAAACTTTTTGTAACACCTGTGACAGGAGCAAGTCCTGTAATTCATAACTGGCTAAAAAAAAAATTGCAGCACAATACAAGAATGAGGAGCAATAGGTAGAAGAAAAAAATATGGTTTCATTTATAAATTCTGTGCTTGAAGTGTGGGATTTGAGCTTGATCCTTTTATTCAAGGGAAGTGGTAGATCTTTCAGGAAAGTCTTGGTTTGCATTTCATATAAGTTGTATTGGAGGATGGTGAAGTTCATACTGGTGCTAAGCCATCTGCTGTTTAATGTCTGGCAATCCTAAAACGTCAGGACACTGCGGATGCTGCAATATAAAATGACAAGTTAGTGACTAGAAAATCCCCTGGTCTGACATCAGCTGAATACTGCTGTTTTCTCTGATAACCTGTGCTGTTGCTGTCAAACAGGTACTCCCTCCCTGCCTGCCCCTGCCCCAGCTTGCAGCAAAATGACAGAGAGGATGTGCAAACTTTGCTTCAGATGTAGAGAACAAAATTCACAGAAGACTGCAAAGCCTTCGCTGATGAAGCCCAGGGCTCATAGTAATTAATTACCAGTTACAGTCTGAGAAGTTCCTCAGAGAGGGGCTTAGAAACATCTTTCTAATTACAGGGTAACTGGTACAGCTTATTCTGTGCTGAAACACTGAAGTACTATACTTTGTAAGAATGATCAGCTGCAATGTGCCTCTATCTTCAGGCTGACTATCAGTATCCTAGCAAAGCTGCTGGCATCTCTGTCCTTATCACTTTCCTGTTTGTTATACTGAAAACTAAAACTAACATTTGTAGCCTATGTAAAATAAGGACAATGAAAAAATGAAGTGTGTGCTGCACTGTTAGAACCTGAAAACAAACCTCAGAGGCTGAAATTCTTCTGTTACTTGCTTTTTATATTCAGAGTAACATCTAAAATAACTGCTAGCAAATGACAATGAAAAGAAATAATGAATGTAATTGTCCAGGCTCTGTAAGTTATAAACATCTAGAACTTTCAAAAAGGGTAGTCTACACACATACTAAGATATACAAATGTATTTCCTACTTCTGTCAGGGACAATTTTCAATTCCCATGATGAACCTTGTCAAATAATACTTCCAGTTTCAATACCCTGTGAAAACAGTCTGACCTAAACTTTCACAATATTTTAGGAAAGCACAAGAGCTAAATTCTGAGTTTGCAATATATATCAAGTACTTTCCTTTTAAAAAAGCTCTGAAGTTCAAGGTGAAGTACCCAGTGACTTTAGGACCAATTGGACTGGGACTCTGTTCCCTAAATCACAAGAAGAATAGGCTACCTCTGTGTTCCTGCTCCTCACCCTGAAAAGCTTCTTGGAATACGATGTAACTAACCCTTGGCACTCTACAGCTTGGCACTTCCATGCTCCCTTGGTTGTATGCTTTTTTCCAGTGGGTGCTGAGAAGAGACTTCCTCAATTGTGTAGTCTTTTCCCCCTCTACCACCCAGTGTCTCTGCTCAAAATAGAATCTCAAAGTTCCTCTGCAAGGAAAGTTCTTCTGCAAGGTCCCGCTGCATTTCAAAAGCTGAAGGTTTGCTGGCTTTATTACTCCAGCTGCAAAACCATGGGAATACACTGGGAGGGATTAAGGGGCATGCTGGGCTGCCTTCCCCATTCTCTGCCGTGAAGTCAGACTTTGTCTTACCATACATCTCCTTTAGGTTATTTATACAGAACCTTTACAGTGAAACAATGTTTACCTCTTTCCTGTCCTTAAAAGATCAAATCCTTCATTGATCTTTGTCAAAGGTAGTATGTGAGTTATTAATGGATCCAGAACAAACTTTTTCTTCATGTAGTCAGCAACCAGTTTGGGAACTGCATCTTTACTCTTCCAGCCTGAAAAAAAAAAAAAGAAATTAAATGCTTTTGAAAATACATAAAACCCAGGGTGGCTTAAATTTTTAGATAATCTTTCTATAGCAGAGTAATAGGATGAAATGTGGCAGCATGGCTTTACCTTTATAACACAGCGTGCCAGCAAGAAACATGGGACAAAGTGCAGCTATTCCACATGTGACAAACCCAGCAGAAGATCAGTACAAATGTCAGTCTTTACAGAATCCAAAGTTGCCCCCACATGAAATACTGTTTCAGCTTAATCACATTTCATACAAAATCCAGAGTGCTGACATCCATGTTGGTAAGTTTTAAATTAGTTAATTAATAATTTTAATTTAATCAAGAAACTTGATTTTCTGCTCAAAACTGGGGAGTGGGTGTAGATGTGTCTCTCTATTCTTACAAGCACCACTAGGTAAAGCTGTCATAAATCCTAGGATGCCCTTCCAGAGGAACCTGATTTGTCTCTGCTGCTTTATTCAGGTGTCTTTTGAATACATGGGAGGAACTGGTTACAAGTGGGAAAACCTGTTGTTGGAAACAACTTTCCTGTGGCCTTTGTGTGAGCTAGGACTTGCTGAGTGTGGGACTGCTGAGAGAGCTCCAAAAAGAGCAAGAATGGGAAGGGACTGTTGGCAGCTGGCAAGGGACTAAGCTGGGGTCTGACCTCTGTGGAAATCAGCTGAGTATAAGCCCTGATGTACTTTACTGTCCTGACTCTCCATCTCTCCTGCTGTCTCTCCCCTCTCCTTCTATTCCTCTCATTCTCCTTTTTGCACTTGCTCTTTTTCTCCCCTCCTTCTGTCCTCTCTCCCTCTTTATGATTTTATCTTTTTCACCCATTTATTTTCTATCCTTTATCTCCTCTTATCTCTCTCCCTATCTATTTTCTTCCTCTTTATTTTTATCCATCCTCCTTCCTCCCCTCACCCTAATTTTCTTTTTCTCTTTTGCTTCTCTCCCTTTTTTCTCATTTCCCCCTCTTCTTTCTTCTTTCCTCCCTTTTATTCTCTATTTTCTGTCTTCTTTCTTTTCTGTCTTTCTCTCTGTCTCCTCTTCCCTTTCTTCCCCCTCCCTCTCTCCCTTTCTGTTTTTTTTCTTTCCTTCTCTTGCCATTCACTAAGTTCCACTAATTAATTCTCCTTCAACTTCTTTGTCAGCAAAATAGCCATCAATACTTCCAATAAGACAGCCTAAGCAATTAATTTTATATGTCCTGTTTCATTCAAGATTATTTACAAGATTCCCAAGCCAGTTAAATCACATCTTTCCAAGTCCTTACCTCCGAAGACGGAGCCTTTCCAGCTGCGACCAGTGAAGAGGAGCATGGGATCAAAAGTGATCTTTTGTGCTGCAGGGGGCACTCCCACAATCACACTGACTCCGTAGTTATGCTGGCAACAGGCCAAGGCTGCAGTCTGCATTAGAAACAGAGGGACACCCAAAGTCAGGCAAGATTTGTCTTTGGGGCACAAACTCCATCTCCTCCTCTCAGGACTCTGCTTGCAATTAATTTTTTGTAAATGAAACCACATAAAAAATTGTCCATTGTATCTGCTCACACCATTGTATCTGCTCTCACTGGTTAAGCATATCCTAGCTTTGCTCTTCTCACCTATTTTGTATAAACTATTGGTGCTAAGCCATTTTTGGAGAGCAGATAATGGGCTATATGAAACGTAGCCACCCTGGTTTGGCCAGGCACTACAGTGAAGTTCCCTTTCCTAAATTTCTGAGCATGCTTCTGTCCCTGCATCTCAGTGGCCAGTAGCTGGACTTGAAAGGTTTGAAGTTAGATTGGTACTCTGCCAGTGGCTCTCAGCTCCTCCTCCTTGGTGCTTGGTGGCCTGGTGAAGAGAGTGCTAATGAGCTAATGCCTCCTGTCACCCCATCTTTGGTTGCATACCATGGTATCCGTACGGCCAATGACCTCAAAGGAGTAGTCCACACCCCCACCGGACATTTCCATCAACACTTCATGGATGGGCTTATTGAAATCTTTAGGGTTGATGCAGTCGGTGGCTCCCAGCTCCTTGGCCTTGGCGAACTTGTCGTTGTTGATGTCCACGGCAATGATGCGGGAAGCTCCAGCTGCCTTGCAGCCCATGACGACGGAGAGGCCAACTCCTCCGAGGCCAAAGATGGCACAGGTGGAGCCTGGTTCCACCTATAATAACAACAACCATGAAAACATGGCATATTGTTACAGGCTTGGGAAAGTCCCATGCATTTCCTCATTATCAACGTGATTTCACTTAAGCCACTTCTTGCAGCTTAGAGATTACCTGCTGAGAAGGAATTTGCATATTCATACCTAGTACAGCTAGTGCAGTAGCCAGCTGTACTGTTATAATGCTACATGTGACTAAAAGAAATTGTCCCTAAAATACACTCCTGAGACCAGGTTTTCATTATATGTCTCAGCTTCAGGATTAGACACACCTTTTTTTTTTTTTTATGACGCTGTATGTTCCAGTGGTGTTAAGATCTGTAGTGTCATTCAACTGGAGACAGTGCCAGCTCTAAAACTCACATTCGTATATTGCTACAATTGTGAGTGTTGCCTATATAGGCTTCTATATATTCTTAGACTTCAGTTACAATAAATAAATGTTGTAACATTTCTAACTGTTGTAACATTTTTCTAGGGGTGATAAAACTATGATGTAATAAATAATTTTACTGGATTTTTGAAGATTTTTTTTTTTAAGACTTCTGAGTACCCTAGAGACAGAATCTGAAGTAGGAAAGAACTAGTATCTTCTTTCCACACTGAACTAAACAGAGTCTACACCTCCTGGCTGCCATGCTGACAACCCACTTGTAGGCTACACAACCTTGAACAGACACCATAAAATATCAGAAACACCCACCACAGTATTTACCTTGGCAGTCTGCAGAGCAGCCCCATAACCAGTTGAAAATCCACAGCCAATTAGACAAACTTTTTCCAGAGGAGCAGCAGAATCGATTTTGGCCACAGCAGATTCATGCACTACTGTGTATTCAGTGAAGGTACTTGTACCAAGAAAATGGTAAATTGCTTTTCCTTTACAGGTGAATCTGCTGGTGCCATCAGGCATTAATCCAGCTCTTGTACCAAGGCTGTTTGAAAGATGACCAGAAATAATGGCAAGTGAAATTTGCTGTTTGCAGTCAGTTATGGATAAAGTCAAATCGAATTAGGGTTGTAAGTAATCCAGGAAAACTCACTCAGTTTTACTGCACAGGTTACTCTTGGTGTTTAAGCAGCTCTTGCACTCCCCACACTGTGGAATAAAGAGTGGAATAACCTTGTCTCCTAGAAATAAAACAGTAATGACAGAGGATTAAAAAAGGCAAACAAGAAGCATACAGGTAAAAACATGAAGCAAGTGTATTTAATCCCAAGGCAAATATGCAATAGGAGTGCAGCGATGGTTCTATTTCCTTCCACTGCATTTGTAAGATGAACCATCTCTCTGTGTTTTATATAAAAGATATAATTAGGTCAAAGTTATGACAACTAATTTTGATATGCAAAATTTCTGGTGTCTTTCCACAGAACAGAGTCAGACCTATGTCATAAAACCATGTTATCTACTGACACTTCTGAAGTACTTACTCAGCAGTTTATTGCATCTTCTGTATAAAAAGAAGGAACTAGGATCGCAGATTGGAGTGCCAAGATAACTGGGCTGTAAACCATGCATATGAAGAATGGGGAATTAAGCATTAATTTGCCAGTCCTCTTGAGCAACTTTGCTCTTTAGCAGTCCTATTACTATTGCACCGAGTAAATGTAGTTAAAATACTTGTCTGAGAAGCAGTGACACACACAGTCTAAGCCAGCATCTCTAATTCTCTAGCACAATTATGTGATTAACAAAGTAGCACATAACTTCCCAGTGCAATTTTTTACTCCTAGGCAATTTCCACAGCAATGATATATGGTAAATACCTAATAATCTCTAAGCATGTATTTCCTAATACATATTAGTTTATGATTTGTCAGTTTTAAGATGTGGCTAATCTTTGACACATTGAAAGTCAAGAGAAATTTTTGATTTCCACCAAAAAATGAAAAATACCTACAGAACATTAAATGCCCCCACTACCTTGACCCTGAGCTAACTTAGAACTGTGATATGGGCTTAGTAATCATTTTGCTAAAGAAATGTTGCACAAGTTGAAGCCTTTTTTTTAGAACTTGGAGGTTTAAATTAAGCAACATCTGAGAAATGTGATTTTGTGCATGTATGTGTTCAGGCCTGCTATTTCAGCTCACCTGGAAACATGGGGCAGCTGCTGGAATTAGACAACAGAGAGATTTATGAACCCAGACATAAGAGAAAAAGCAACTAGAGCTGTCACTGAAATTTGAAATATGCATATTTGTTTGGAGTTAAAGCAGAAATCTCTAATAAAATTTTTTGTTACACATACCAACCTACTTTGGACAGACTTCATATTTGTCAGTATGGACAAAGACACAGGAAGTACAGAAGTGTTGAAAGTGGGCTACTCAGGTATCATAACAAAATGCCTAGAAATTGAGTGATTCTGCATAAATTTTTTTTCACTGCATATTTTCTCTTAATAATTTAGCCCTTGTTGGAACTTTTTCAGTCCTGTAAAAGTGTAGAAGAATCCCATCTCATCTTGTAGCAGTTGGCTGAAAATTGTCATCTTTCACTGGCCGTCTCTGCACTGTGGTTCAAAGAGAACATAGGGAGAGGAGCAGCTGGTCCAGATGAGTGTCCTGAGAGCAACCCAGCCTTCGGGGAGCAGTGCTGCCTCACCCGCACTGGTGCTGCCCACATGCAAGGCCTGCAGCAGGGTGGGCACCCCAGTTGTGCCCTGATGCTTTTGAGGTGAAGTAAGACCTAAATTCTGATCAGCTGAAGTCAATGGATTATTTAGCTGTTAGGAGAATTAAAAGGTGCTTTGACATTTTGTCATCTAGTGCTTTGCTTTGCCTTATTCTTGAGAAAGGTGAGCTGTATAAACTGTGTTCAGAGAACCTGCAGCTAATGCCTGAATTCATATGAACAGCAAAGCATATGAAAAACAACTTCATATGAAAAGACTCTACATTCTTAGTCCCACAACAGGAAAAGCACTATGTAGGTGGAAAGCAAGCTGCAGATGCTTTTGCCAAAACCAAAAGAAATTGAGTAGAAAATCTGAAAGTAAACCAATACTGGGGGTGCAGAAAGGCATAAACAGTAGGTTTGTGTCCTTTGAGGTATCCTTGAAAAAACTGAAATTGGACTATTTTCCTGTGCAGTAAAAATACTAACAAATGTAACAATCTTTGAACTAAGGAGGAGTCTAGAAACTCAGCAGAGGGTTTGTTTTCAGTGCTGTATCATACCTGGTTTGACTGAAGTCACTCCCTGCCCAACACTCTCCACAACACCGGCTGCTTCATGCCCAAGAATTATTGGAAAAGGCATAACCAGTGCACCAGTTATCACATGGTCATCAGAGCGGCAGATCCCAGTGGCCACGACCTGATTCACAGGAAAGACAAGAATGTTTCTGCTTTTAACTATGTCAGGTCATATGCAGAAGTGAAACGATATTCTACATTTGGAGAAGCCCCTTGCTTGTCTCCAAAATCCAGCTTGCATGCAATAAATCTACAGGTAAAACAAATTTAGTTGTTTGATTTAAGGTTTTCATGGTATTTATTAGTCTTTAATCTACAGGCCAAAGCTCCTTTGTGAATGTTTGCTATGCAGTACTGAGCTCTATAGGGAGTCCAATGGATTTTCTGTAGAATCAATGATTTAGCAATACAATTATATAGGAAGAACAGAGTAAATTAAATTATTCCTAGTATTTATATATAAATACTTAAAAGGAAAGTGTGTAATATTATATAAATATTATAAAATAATGTAAATACAAATTAACCATCACATATTATTTATAAATATAGAAATATTGTGTATATATTATGTTTATGATATTTAGATTATATGACAATATATAATAGATATTTTATATAAATTATGTCTTATACAATGATTTTATATTCTAGATAATCACATAGCAATTATATTATTGTACTGTGCATATACTTAAAATCTTTGTATATGTTACTTTAAAAAAAATTAAGCTACAGAGTGTTTTATATGACATTTTGCCTTTTCTTGCAGCTAGAACAGCACTATTTCATTTGAAATATTCAGGTATGTGTTTACAACTTTTATTCTGACAAATGGATTTGTCAACCCCATGAGAGGGTTTTCCTCATGTTTTTAAACCTTGAAACTGCTCAAAGATTAAGGTAGCTGCTGAATTCCACTGAGGCCAATATCCAGGTAAAAAACAGGAAGCTCCCAGGCTAATGAGCTATTTCCTAGCACTGATTCAAACAAAGTAAAAGAAATTCTCTTGCTCCACACAACTGGAAATTCTGTTTTTTGCCTTGTATTGTCATTTTTTCAGCCTATTAGAAAAGCAGCTGTCAGTAAACAAAAAATACAACCCTGAAAACCTTTTTTTTTCTTAATAACCTCATTATGAAATTAATGACTTTAAACATGTTCCATAGGAGCTAACTGATTAGTAACTACTTTCTAATAGAACGTTTTCTCACTGGGTCTTAAAAATTTATAGAACTAATTCTGATTAAAGCAAGATAGAATGCAAGTCATACAAGTTGTTTTAAATTTTATTTTTAGTACCTTCATGCGAACTTCATGTTCTTTTGGTGGGGCAACTTCCACTTCTTCAATACTGAATGGTTTATTGGCTTCCCACAGCACTGCTGCCTTGCATTTAATAACCTGCAAACAGAGCAAAGAAAACAGGAATGGCATTTTCAAGTCCTCACATAGACAGTTTCTTCCATTTCTGCACGTGAAACTCCTGTTCATATTTGTGGAGAAGAGAGGGAAACTACAGGGGAAAAAACCCAAATGAAACAACAAAAAAGTCAACACCAAAGGTCAGTGTAAGCCTATTTTTTCCCCCCACCAAGATCATGTCTGACTTTGCTTATCATATTTCTGTCACATCAGGTTTTCAGATGCATGTGTAATAGTCTCCTAGGTAATGGGATACCATACCCATTCTCATTGCTCCTTTGCTAACTTCCTTGGTCAATTTCTTTTGCTATGTTGGGTTACTTGTCTATTTTTATCTTCTTGAAGATGGCACACTAAATGATGTCACTTATCAGGCTGTAATAAAGTCTGTATTGTCTAGAACAGTCTGTGTTGTGAACTAACAAAATTGCTAAAAATGGAATTCAGAGCCTAGTACAGATTTATAAGCATTCTAGTGGAGCCCAAGTTCATCCATGAGGTGATGGCTGAAGGACAGCTGTGTAAACTGATGTAGCACTACAAAGAGGTAATCTTGAACCGTCCCTTCATGTGCAGTATTATCCATGCTAAGGTACCCTCCTTCTCAGAAGGGATATTTAACTCTGGTGGATTTACTATCCAACTATCCAAGACGGTATTTTTTTTTCATCACTTAGACTGAAGTTTGTCCATTAATTCTTCAGGCTTTGTCCTGGTAATGACCTAAGGGCTCCTCTGACCATCTTCCACTGAGAGAAAAATGCCCTCAGAAAAGAGAAGAGCATTGTCCACACCTCATCCTGAGCTCTCAAACAGGTTTCCTCACTGCAAGCTCAATCCTACTGTATTCAAAAGCAGTGGGACCTCTCTGCCCCCATAATTGCTGCTCTTTCTTGGAGGTGTTTAAAGATCTCACCCTAAGTCTTTAAACAACCTGAAATATGATTTTCCTGGGTAACACACTATAAAGTCTTCAGTCATTCTGTTAAGTCTACTGACTACAAGTGTTCAGATGGCATTATCTTGAGAAGGAAATGGAGGGGAATCAAATCCAGGAAGCCCTCAGTTTAGCACATGCATATTTATCCTGTGTGACCAGGACAACTTAACACCAGTGTGTTGCAAAATTTGCAAGGGAAAACAACAACAAAAAAATTTTTAGTATCAAACCTTTTGAAGAAGAAATAGAAATAATGTCTGATTATCCAGAAATGGAAAAGTGGTAACAAAAAAAATAATTACTAGGAAATATTGAACATACAAAATAGCAGACTTTCAGCAGCCAGACACAGAAGTGGGATGGGTACAATGCTTTGAAAAAAACTGCCTCAAGAGATATTTGTACTAAATTTAAATTTAATGTTTAGATGCAAGGGCGATTAGTGAAAAATTCACAGGTGTGGTCAAAGGTCACATTTCAAAGGGCAGCATTTTCTAGGAAACTTACTTTAAAAAAAAAAAAAAAAAAAAAAAGAAGGCAGATGATTTCATGACTTGCACATGTAAAGGACATGTAGTGTTTCCAAGAACAAAAGTGGCCAAGAAGTATGGATTGCTGAGAACAAACAAATCTCTCCTAATCAGACATTAGTTAACTATGTTTTGTTATGACTGTCTCATCCCTGTGAGCTTTTATGGATTGCAACAGGATCCCAGAGATGTAGCAACAGCACACTATCACCCATGTCATCTGCTAAGACAAGCTTAACAGTTTTTTCTCTGCTAGTGTGTTCTACCAGGCATGTGAGTTACTGCTGCAGGAGAAGGCATGTGTAGAAACACACCCTTACACAGGACACAAGGACTATGCTGCTTGGTTACATAAATTGCACTGGAACTCCCATGTGATTCCAAGGTAAACACAGTGAAATCAAAGCAGTTAAGCTATATCATAACACTTCATTTACTGTGAATATGTAATCCACTAATGCTGATAGAGGACTGAACTTGGTGAATTTACCTGCAAGTAAGCTACAATTAATTTTGCACTTGCAGTAACTCAGAGTTAAAAAGAACATTTTTTTTCCTTTCTCTTTTGGTTTTAGAATAGTGAGGACAGCTGGCAGTAAGAGCAAATGATCCTGGTACTAGCTTAAGGCACATTCCTTATTTCAGTTTTCTATTTCTAGTTGTTTGCCCCTTAATTTCTCTTGCAGGTCCCTGGGTATCTGCTAGCATCTCGCCAGCAGTGCAAGAAGGAACATGTATTGGTATCAACCTCCATTTCTCTTGTCATCTCATTTCTAGCAAAGATGTAACTACTCACTTCAATCCAAGCTCAGTATTTCATTGCATGTGAACTTTACTTCTGGTCTTCATAAACTAAAGTTTGAGACTTGTTATATGCATATTCAAATTTAATGACTATCCTAATGCTAGCACAGTTCACCGTGAAATTGAACACAATATTAGCTATATCTTCTTTTTAGAAAACAAGCTGATAGAATAAATAAACTAAAAATAGTTTAAACTACTATAGGATCTCACAATGGAAACTTGTGGAGCAGATAAATACATTGATCTAAGACTTAGTATATTCTATCATATTTTAAACTATCCAATCAGAGATTAAAAACGGTTTGCTAACATAGACAGGGTGTTACTCTTATTCTGGTGCTGTTACCTTTTGTTGCCTCAAATAAACTATTGCCTTGAAGAGTTAACAACCATTTTCTAGGAAACTACAGCAGCCTGCAAATAAAGGCAGCTCTTCTGTACCAGCTTCATCCTAAATTCTAATCTGTGCTATACCACCAGGATTTACAGTGTTCCTGCAAAGAATTCACATTTAAAAATGCATTACTCAGCTGCAGCAAAGAAACTTTCCTATTACAAACCATTGCATACTTTGCCTGCTGTGCTCATGTTGATGAATCTTGCCACCGCTGATTTTCTGCGCCAAGAACTCAGTCACCTCCAGAGCAGCTGGGCTGCTGGTACCACAAGTCCTCTCCAGCACACTGGAAGCTGGTTGTGTGAAGTGCTCCCACAAGTGGATTTCTCTGGTCTTTTAGCCAAGCCTCCCAGCTCATAGTCCCACCCCTTAATCAGAAAAAGTGCTAGAATGAGAGTGAACCACTCATCTGATGAAACCTCACTCTTTCAGTGCTTCCATCTTCCTGACCCCTTTGTCATGCTCTTCCCCACCCTTTTTTGCAGCCCACTTGTGGCTGTCCTCATCATGGGACAAAAGCAACAGCCCTGTCTGGAAGCTATTTCCCTTTTTCCACCTCCCTGGAAGCTGCCCTCCAAACCCTCTACTCTCAGTGGCACTGTAGGTGCAAAGAGAAATTGAGAGAGTGGCTCTTGAATTCACAACAGCAGGGACACAGTGAGAGCATGAAGGCTTTGGTGATGAACTTCAGTGACACAAGAGCCCAGCTCATCCACTAAAACATGGGATTCTGCAACCTGTTTAACAAATGCATGCTGACTGTGTGGCTGTGGCTGTATCTTCTCCTGAATTCTTAGTTTTACAGTCTGGCTACTCATTAATCTGTTGGAATGGCTTTCACTTCACTGTGTCCAAGGACAATGTGCCAATCATGCTGATAGGAAAACAAAAATCAGTAAGTCAGAAGTGCTGTGACAGAATGTTTCTTACCACATGCAACACCCTGCTTGTTTTGTGGGTGCTTGACCTGTTGGTTCCATCAACACCCACAAGCACAGCCCCCAACACTGCTCACATGCCCATACACTTGCCCTCTCCTGGCACTACACGCTGGTGCAAGGGATTGGGTGGAAGTCAGCACTTCATGCCTTTCCTGGGGACTTCAAGCCTTGTCTATTTTTAAATTATGCCCAGCATTCTGAAACCAAGTTTTCTTCCTTCAGAAACAAGTGAAAAAGAGATAAAATGCTGCATATAACCTGACTAGTAATTACTAAGTATAGCACTCCGTCATGTTTACCTGTGTGACTGTAATTAATTCAAGAAGAGATTCTTCCCTAGTCATGCTGGCTTCTCTATTTCTGATCCAGGCCAGGATGCCATTGGCCTTCTTGGCACACGCTGGCTCATGTTCAGCTGCTGTCAGCCAGCATCCCCAAGTCCTTTTCCTCCAGGCAGCTTTTCTGTAGCGCTGCCTGGGGCTGTTGTTACCAAGGGCAGGACTTGGCACTTGGCCTTGTTGAACCTCTGTGCTGATTTTGGCTGGTGCAGAGTTAGCTTTCTTCACAGTGGCTGCTTTGGGACTGGGTTTTGGATTTGTGCTGAACACAAGGCTTATAATGTAGGGATGGTTTTTTTACTGCTAAGCATGGTTTACAGAGTCAGGACCTTTTCTGCGTTTCACACAGCCACAGTGGTGAGGAAATTGGGGGTGTGTGGGAGGTTGGGAGGAGACACAGCCCAGACAGGTGACCCAAACTGACTAAAGGGCTATCCCAGACCACATGACATCATGCTCAGTATATAAAGTGGAGGAAGAAGGAGGAAGGCATGGACATTTGGAGTGGTGGCATTTGTCTTCCCAAGTCACCATTACATATGATGGGGCCCTGATCCTGTTAATGTATTTATAGAAACATTTTTTATTGTCTGTAATGGCAGTAACCAGATTAAGTTCTGGTTGGGCTTTGGCCCTTCTAATTTTCTCCCTGCAAAAACTCACAACATCCTTGTAATCCTCCTGAGCTGTCAGCCCTTTCTTCCAAAGGCCATAAACTCTCCTTTTTTGTTCTGAGTTCCAGCCAAAGCTCTCCAGTCCTCTCAGGAGGAACAACCTAGTGATTTGCACTTCCTGAAATAACTTGTATCAGAATGAAGTCCACTAGTCCACTCTATTCCTTGATGTTTATCTATCTCCTTTCCTCCCTTCTTTTACACCTGATGATTTTAGAGGTCTTTTCCAACCTTAACTATTCTATGATTCTTCTAAAGTTCCCATCCCATTTCCTTATTGGTTTATTTACCATATCCCTTTATGTTTCCTTTCCCCTCAAAACTTTCCTCATATCTTTAGGTATATGCATATCAAGGCCATGACTTTTTTTCTCCGATTGAGAACACTGGATCAGTCAGTGGATCCTTGTCTGTATACTGTGCAGGGATAGGTGTCATGGTCCTTAGGCAAAAGGTGACAACAAAAGAGACTGCACAGAGTTCCAGCAGTGAAGCACGAGCAGACTTGCATAACCATGTTGCAGAAGCTGCTTTATTTACCTTGCTCTGCCTGATTCCTAAAGATAAATGAGGGTGAGGCTCCAGCTCAGGGCATACAGTGGCCCTGGCATGCATGGAAACCACAGTGCCGCCCCTTTACAACCTGCTTGCACAGGCTCTTGGCTCAACCCTTTGTGAGAAAATACTTTGCTGATCCCTAGACCTCTCCACTTTTAGGGCTGTTCACTATGAAGAGAATTTTTCTTTATGTTTATTTAAATATTGTGCAATTAAAATCTCTTCTTTCTGGTGACCAGTGACATGACACAAAGGGATGGCATGAAGTTGTGTCAGAGGGAGGTTTAAGTTGAATATTAGGAAAAGGTTTTTCACCCAAAGGGTGTTTGGGCACTTGAACAGGCTCCCCAAGGCAGTGGTCACAGCACCAGCCTAACAGTTCAAGAAGTGTTTGGACAATGCTCTCAGGCACATGGTGGGACTCTTGGGGCTGCCCTGTGCATGGCCAGGAGTTTGACTTTGATGCAGGACCCTTCCAACTCAGGATAGCCTGCAATTCTATGGAAATATGATACATAATTTCTTTATAGTTTTTTTTATTTCACTTTATCCAGCTGAACGTGATGCACTAATATCCCCTCTCCAGTGATTCATTAACCTCAGCAGATTCCAGTGAAATGTGTGTCAGAGGCTGAAGACAAAGAACATGCTGGAGTTGTTCATGGCTGGTGAGCTTGCACACAAAAGAAGTTAGAAGCAGTGGGCAAAGGTCTGTACTTGCAACTCCAAGTTATCTTCACTTGGGGACTGTAACTTGGGCAAATGCTTTGAAACACCGACCATGCTCAACAAATTGTAGCCATAGCTCCAGTTTCTGACTACAAAGCACTTGTAGGGAAAAGTGGTTCTTTACTGCCACTTCACAGGCAGTACAGCCTGCTTCCCACTCCTCGCTCCTGCCTGGGCTGAGCAGCTTTGCATTGCTTACTTGCCTGAAGCAGTGCATGATGTTGACTCCAGGCAACGAGAGCTAGTGCTTTCTGAAACAGCTTTTTTTTAATGGAAAATTAGTTCTGCACTGAACCTGGCTCAATTTAACAGAAGACTATTTTAACCACAGCTCAAGTGACCTGACTTTTTAGAGAAGGAAAAAAAAAGCTTTTAGTGGTAGTTATGCATCACAGGTTTTACTGACAACTATACATTCTGTCCTACAAATAATAAAATGCATACTAGTTTCAGCTAAAACTTTAGCCTTTTCAAAAAGAGGTTACTTCTTCCTTATCTACCATGTTGATTTTTAAGCTTACCAAGGTACCTTTCTTTCTTTCAGACAGTGTCTTACCTGCTAAGATAAATAAACCTTTATATTTAAATTGTGTTTAAATTGAAAATCCAGCATTTCTTCCTCCTGTGTGATAGCAATTTCCGAGTTACCCTATTATGAGGCACTTCTGAAGAACTTGGTAACACAAAAGCTCTGGGACACATGTTAGTAGAAGATAGGAAAAGCAACATTTCTGAAGTTTCACCATACACAGTATAGAAGCTGTGACTTCTCCAATCCCTTTGTATTTTTCCACTGCACATTTAAGGGTGTCCAAAAGATTAGGTATACAAAATACAAAACCCTGCAAGTGCTCATTATTATTGAAGCACAGAGATTGAACAGAACTAGCTGGTAGGGCAGATTATGTCCTTCAAAAAGCTTAGGGATCATATCTGAAGATTATACAAATGTGCATGACACGGCAATGGAGCTGAATTAAGCACATATGGGATGACATTCAGTTTTGTGAGAACATGAACAAAGACATCCAGGAATAAACACCTTTCCAAAATACACAGGAAATAAATCAACTGCTCACAGGACAATGCCTTATTCATTTTAGTAAGCTGAAGAAAAGTTAAAGGTGGAAGGTGCAAATTAGCTTGTGGGTTTAGAGCAAGTATTAGAAAAATTTGAAGAGGAAAATGATATCCAAGGAGAGTACTCAATCAAGTATGAACATCCCTTTTGTAAATAATGCCTTTTCTTCCTTTTAGGTCTCTGAAAATATCACAGCCAAACAACACAAACAAGAAATAAAAAAACACCTCTTACACTACTTGAAGTAAAAATGCAGCAAAAGGGAACGAATATGAATCAGACATTTGATTATTTGGCTTTAGGACTGTCAGCAGCAGATACTGTTCCAGCTAACAAAGCCACCTTCTTGAAAGAAAGACAATTAAGGTACACATTTCAAAGATGGGCCAAAGTTTATTCAGCTCTAGATGTGGAAGTCACACTGAAGTCCATCTCCGCTTTTCAGAATAATTTACGAGAAGAATCTGTGCTTACTGATGGCTTATTTTAAAACCCTCCTGCAGAATAAATGGATACTTTACAATAATATGAGCCAATACCAATAATGGTGCAGTGAACCTGTGATCTTCAGTGTGATCTACAGCACAGCCTGAGCAATAAAAAGTTCTGTTTCAATCAAAGAAACACTGTAACTCTTCAAATTTCCCTGACCTTATCCTCAAGCTTTAAGGACTTCAGGAATGCCATATCCTGCACTCCTGCAGCTGGCAGTCACATTGCCCCACAACTGCTCATGTGCCTTGTCATGCATGCAGGATTTTGGAATAACAATCAGTGTGGATCCCCTTGGCCAGCTACACTCCTGTGCAGCATGCCAGTGTGCACTGCAAAACCCACCATCACTGTCAACTTTGTGACCAAAAGCCTCTGAGGTGGGGCTGTTCAGAGAGGCTCTTTTCCACTCAGATGCTCTTCTGCAGAGTCATGTCTAGAATCAAATGCTACTGCTCCATAAGCAAACATAGGGTCAACGAGCATACATCATGACATGG